TAAGTAGCGGTAAAAGAATTATCGTTGAACTTTTAAAAGGTAAGCTTAAATATTAATGCAATACTTAAATGCAGCGATCAGTTATGTGTTCTTTTGTAGTTTATTGTTGCCTATCGCATCTACTCCTCCTTACCTATTGCGATGAAGGCCTAATCAAGGGCCCTGCGCAGAAGGTAGCTTAAATGCCGCCAGATAGCTGGTTGTGAATAACTGTTGCCTGTTCTCTCCAAACGTCACTGTCTTGTGATAAGTCAGAGAAAGTGTTGCAGGTTTTTTCAAAGACTAACTAATTTTTACCCAAAACAAGGCCCGAATACCATGTATGATAAAGTATTACTGTATGATGTTGCAATAGCGCAAGAAAAGGCAAGATGCCCAATTCATGGGCTTATGTAGGAAAGATAAGTTTTAACCTTTGCACTTGAAGAGGTCAAGATTATAGAAAACGGGAAAACATCCTGCCGGGAGTCTGTTCTACAAAGTAGCAGTCGTTGTGAAGAATCTGTCTCGTTGTAACTTTCTTCTTATTATTGAAAAAAGAAGAGGGATAAGGATGATTGATTCTTGTGCAAGTGGCATGACGGGTTCCAGTTGCAAAAGGTCAGGGCCGGTGAATCCAAGAAATGTAGCTAGTCAGAACATTTGCCATAGAAATAGCGAGGATCTTGCGACGTTTCGTCTCTGGGAAAAAGGATAATTGGTGTAAATTATTAAATCATCACTCACGAGGCCGCGTAGGCTTAAATGCATTCTATCAATACAATCAAGATAGGGCTACTCTGTGGTGTTGTATGATAGTTAGAAAAGGCTGAAATGAACTTCATAAGGTTACTCAGATAAGACAATGGTTAAACCTAAAAGAGGTCATGATTGTAGTCAATAGGAAATCATCCTGCAGGGAGTCTGTTCTACAAAGCAGTAGTTCTTAAGAAAACGGCGCATAGATGCTTTTGAACGGTATCAACAAAGGCAAGTGAGGACAGGGTGGCAAAACTTCATCGGGCTCTTGTAAAAATAGACTATAGCAAGGGGAGTCAGATACTTACTGGGACAGTATAATAAACTGACCATTTTTTAGCTTCTTTAACAATGGACCTTATATATGAGTTTCACTCGAGGTTATAGGAAAGGTAACAGTTAACCCTAGACTTGAAGATTGTAGTATATTACCTATTGTGATGAAGGCCTAATCAAGGGCCCTCCGCAGAAGGTAGCTTAAATGTCACCAGTTGTGAATAACTGTTATATGTTTTTTCCAAACGTCCCTGTCTTGTGATAATTCAGAGAATGTGTTGCAAGTCTTTTCAAAGAATTTACGGACATTTTTAAAACTAATTTTTACCCAATACAGGGCCCGAGTGCAAGTCATGATAAAGGGTTAATGTGTGATGTTGCAATAGCGCAAGAAAAGGCAAGATGCCCAATTCATGGGCTTATGTAGGAAAGATAATTATTAACCCTGCACTGGAAGAGGTCAAGATTATAGAAATACAAAAAACAGAATGCATGGTCGTCAGCAAAATGATGAGCCCGAAATGCAATAGAATCAAGCAGACGCGAAAGATTAAATATCTGGATAGCGTTTTGACAGAGGACAGTAAATGCGACACTGAGATCCGTAGACGTATTGGGATGGCCAAGGACGTATTTCAAAAGCTGTGCAGAGTATTGCAAGACAGGGGGATTTCTTTGGTAACAAAGAAAAGAATACTGAGCTGTTACGTGACATCTGTCCTTCTTTACGGCAGCGAATGTTGGACGATTTCCTCAAAGACGAAGAAAAGACTCGAGGCGACGAAGATGTGGTACTACAGAAGGATGCTGAGGATATCATGGACCGAGCGTGTGAGCAACGACGAGGTCTTTGAGAGGATGCAATCAGGGAGGAAGCTTATACTTAATATCAGAAAGAGGCAGCTGAAGTTTCTGGGACACATAATGAGGAAAGAGGGCATGGAGAATCTGATTGTCACAGGTCGAATAGAGGGAAAGAGAGACAAGGGAAAACAGCGCATAATATACTTAGCGGCCTTAAGCAAGTGGATGACAGAACGTGGATTGGGGGAGATGACAGAGGGAAGGATCTTGTTGAGAGCTCCAAGGGATAGAAGGAGGTGGAGAGCCATGATCGCCTACGTCCTTAAAGGATACGGCACATAGAAAGAAAGAAGAAAACATCCTGCTGGGAGACTGTTTCACAAAGCAGCAATCCTTGTGAAGAAGCTGTCATGTTGTAACTTTCTTCTTATTAATGAAAAATAAACGGAGATGAGGATGATTTGTTGTGCATATGGCATTATTATTGCCTGTCACATCTAATCCTCTCGCTACCTACTGTAATGACGGTCGATAGACCGGATTTTAAGCTTGTATATATGTATTACTTTAAAGTTTAAAGTTTAAACGTTATGGAAAAACACGTTGGAGCAAACCTGCCATTTTTTTTTTTTTTTTTTTTTTTTTTTTGTAAATTTATGTCTGCCCGTCTGGGCATTCGAGAGGTCTTGATAAAGGTAATGTGCACGAATCTGCAGGGTTCGAACCTGCATCCACCTTGTGTTGCCGCTGGGGAGAATAATGTAACACCATCTTCCTATCTCTAGTTTCCATCTATGAGGACTTGTGTTAGTCTACGCTCATTTTAGTACATATGACTGTGTGAAAGCGTTGAGTGAAAACACGCATTCGCCTGTCTCTCTGCGTCCGTTTTCCCGCCGGCCTGTCTGTCTGCGTGCCAATAGGGTGTGCAGTGTACTTTTGCACATTTAGGTGGGGCATTACTGGCATTGCTGCTGCTGCTGCTGCCGCTCTAGTAACAACAACAGCTGGTAAAGCCTTCCTCATTAGCGTCACCGTTGCTACTACTACTATTACTACAAGTCTTACTGCTACTGAGGGAGAAATTGGGCTGGACGTTAGAATAAATATCGCTGTTCCAGAAATGTTGTATCGGGTGAGGTTTCATCTCTAGCATACCAGACCATTTATTTATGTTCTTGTAAAATCAATCGGTTCCATATTTTAATATCTTTATAAGGGAAATACCAGTGACACATGATATGATAATATGCTTATTCTCTCGCAGTTTAATTTTGTTTTGTTTTTTTAATCATTTCAACTCAGACAAAGTGACAATGCCACTCAGATGCACGGGGTTACTGGGAATGAAAGAGAAGGAGGAGATTTTTGTGAGGAAAAAGGACAATAAAAGAACAGGTTTCAGGAAGACAGAAGATGGTTATTGGCGCTGTATTTAAATTTTTGAAGATCGTGGGAGTCATTGAAACCAAAACCCAGAAGAGATTTCCACGAGTGAGAAGTGGGAGAAAATAAACTATTAGAATACAAGTTACGTTTACATCTATAAATATATGTGTGTGTGTCTCTGTGTGTCTCTGTGTGCGTGTGTGTGTTGTGCTGGTAAATATAGAGCCTTTTTCTTGCTTTTCGATGCACTACTTCAGTCAAATTATTATTACACGAGCATTCGTAATTTAATTTTAATTCATTTGTGCATATATATATATATATATATTGATAATATTAGTGGTCAATATATATATATATATATATATATATATATATATATATATATTATAAATTAATTGATTTAAAATGTTTTTTTTTGCTACACAGTTCCAACCATGTTTCAAAAATAGAAGCTAAAAACCCCGAATTTAATTTTGCAATTAAATTAAAAGCATTAGTTCCATTTCATCTTCAAGCGAATTTTATTACATTTCAATTTAAATTTACATTTATATATATATATATATATATATATATATATATATATATATATATATATATATATATATATATATATATTAAATCAATTAATTTATAATATTAATGCTAGGTAAATTTACATTGAACACTATTTCATAAAAATATCTATAAGAACACCGGATTATATATCTTACTGTTCTTTCTTTATATATATATATATATATATATATATATATATATATATATATATATATATATATATATATATCTAAAGTGGATAAAATCCAGGAAGAGCTAAATCTCCAGGACAGATCAAGAATATAATAAAGTCTCAAACACTATTATTCCATGTTTACATTGGAATCGTAATCACGATCCAATTCATCAGACCTACAAATTCAAAAAGAAATAAAATTGGAAAGAAAGAAATATTTCTGTCAGTTCGTTAATTGCGGTCCTTTTGTGTACAACTCGCAAATTTGTGGTCTCAGGGGAGAAAGAAAATGTTTGCCATCAGGAAAGGTTTTATCAAACTCTGTTTAAAGAAAGACTTTATATTATTATTAGTAGTAAACGTCGCATTAATTCCTGACCAAGACCCAGGCTTTCCTTTCTAATTTTCAATGGACAACGTTTTGAAATTGCAAAAATCTGTTCCGAATTGCCAAATTTTATTCATCTACGAAAATACTTCTGTTGCTATGATGATTGACCTCGAACAAACAGATACATAGATAGATAGATAGATAGATAGATAGATAGATAGATAGATAGATAGATAGAAATGATATGATATAATATGACATGATAGGTCACGAATAGACAAAGACAAACAGATAGATAGATAGATAGATAGATAGATAGATAGATAGATAGATAGATAGATAGATAGATAGATGATTGACTTCGAATATATATTCGAAGTCAATCATATATATATATTATATAGAGAGAGAGAATGAGAGAAAGAGAGAGAGAGAGACAGAGATAGATAGATAGATAGATAGATAGATAGATAGATGATTGACTTCGAATATATATTCGAAGTCAATCATATATATATATTATATAGAGAGAGAGAATGAGAGAGAAAGAGAGAGTGAGAGAGAGACAGAGATAGATAGATAGATAGATAGATAGATAGATAGATAGATAGATAGATGATTGACTTCGAATATATATTCGAAGTCAATCATATATATATATTATATAGAGAGAGAATGAGAGAAAGAGAGAGAGAGAGAGACAGAGATAGATAGATAGATAGATAGATGATTGACTTCGAATATATATTCGAAGTCAATCATATATATATATTATATAGAGATCTATCTATCTATCCCAATCTGTTCATATCTATCTATCTATCTATCTATCTATCTATCTATCTATCTATCTTCGTCCTACCGCTATGCTGTTACTTATTACTCTTTTTCTTATTTATGCTTTCTCTTTCCCGCTCTTTCTTGTGCACACATTCTCTCTCTCTCTCTCTCTCTCTCTCACTCTTTCTGTCTCTCTCTTTCTGTCTTCTGTCTCTCTGTTTTCTGAGATAGTTTTGCACCAAATACTTTACGTTTGTGATTTTTTGTTTTCTTGGTGTGAAGAATTTCTCAACAACAAACAGATAATTTTTATTTTTTTTACAAAAATCCGCAGAATAGGCAAAGCCATAAAAACCGGCATTGAAAAAAACAATGGCTTAAAGTTGGCATCGAACACTGACCGCGAGCCTCTATAAGAAATACACGGTTACTTCAATCACGTCAATCGCCTTCATCAGTATATGCACACATCTACCTTTCCCCTTCAGGACGTGGGTGATCATTCTCTTACTTTATTATCTGCGAATTGCCATGAATTCTTCGAAGGGATATTAGAGCATTTTTTGATGACATCTATAAGTTTTGGGGGGAATTTTTTTTCCCAGAGTTGGCCTTCCATTAGAGTGGCCGCCATACAAGGCCTAGTCGAACATCCTATTTAATTCATTGTTGGAGACAGAAGATTTTCCAAATACCATTTGTCAGAAAGTGAATATATATATATATATGTATATATGTGTGTGTGTGCGTGCGTGTGTGAGTATGCAATTTTAATTAAATATTTTTTTATATACCCGTAGCCACTTTTGTAATATCAACGAATACTCGTTGTCACTTTCGTAATGCTCGTTGTAGTAGAGACTTTGTAATCGCAGATACAACTATACTAACGCCATTGAACAATACTGGTGTCAGACGACTTCGAATAACATTCGCACTAATACTACTTGCTCGAGAATACTCGCTCGAAAAGTAACCATCGAATAGTAATCCTTATAGTGAATAGAGTAGAGAATAGCGGTCCGTATAGTAATAAAGGATATATATATATATATATATATATATATATATATATATATATATATATATATATATGATAACGATATATATTTTTTATATATCAAGAACAATTTTGGAGGAAAGAATCCCAAAAAATTTGAGTAACTTATTTTTAAAATTACTGGGAGTGCCTTTAAAACCAAGTAATTTTAAAAATAAGTTACTCCAAAATTCGTTTGAGGATGAAATGGAACTAATGTCTTTAATTTAATTACAAAATTAAATTCGAAGCTCTTAGCTTCCATTTTTGAAACATGGTTAGAACTGTGTAGCGAAAAAAAACATATTTTAAATCAGTTAATTTATAATATTAATGCTCTGTAAATCTACATTGAGCACTATTTTGTAAAAAAAAAATATTTGTAAGAACACCGGATTATATATCTTACTGTTCTTTCTTTTTATTTTATATACATACATAATATATATATATATATATATATATATATATATATATATATATATATATATATATATATATAGTCGCATCATAATATATAAGGAGATGAATTATACTTGCTTGATAAGTGTGTCAACTACTCTTGGGTAGTTTGTAACACATCTATTTATCATCTCTCATTTGCGTCTCTGTCTTTGGGCAGAGTGCACTCAGGGGCGACACCGTCAAAGGACAAAGTCGCAACTGAGGAATATTATACTGAGAGGTGCTCAGCCCTTTCATTGCGCTAGAGAGAGGGATCGGTGCACGCACCGAGGCCAGCGCAACCGACGGTTGCAAGGGGCTGCGGGCAATTTTTTTCTTCCTAGCCCGGGTGTACGCACTCGGGTGCCTCACCTTAAAACTGACCTTGTGTCACAACTCACCTTAGTGGGGAGACAGAGTAAATACCTAGTACTCGCTCGCAAAGTAACCACCAAATAGTAATCCGTATGGTGATCAGTATAGTGAATAGTATAGAGAATAGCGTTCCATATAGTAATAGAGGATAGAATAGAAATAGTGACCTGTGTTCAAACTCCAGAGTCGACGCTTTATTCCTATATAACAAAAATATGAGAGACAAGGTGCTCTGATTAAGTGTTTTGTTTTTTTATATATATATATTTTTCATATGATCTTATAATGTTTTTCTTTTCAGTAGATAAATTAAAATAAGAAAAACTGTCAAATTGAGCACTATTTTGTAAAAATAAAAATACCGAATTATATATCTTACATTTTTCCGAGCGCTTTCGGCAATGCATTTATCCATTTTCAAGGATGAAATATATTAACAGTAAACTAGGAATAGATTGTTGTATGGATGTGTTTAGTATTGAATAATATTTTATTTTAAGATCAAACACTAATATTCCCAGGTTATAATTTATTACTTTGGAATCGTAATCACGATTCAATTCATCAGACCTACAAATTCAAAAAGAAATTGGAAAATATTATTTTCCGATTTTTTATTTTATTTTATTTTATTTTTGAATTTGTAGGTCTGATGATAATATATTCTTACTCTGTCCTGGACATTGAGTTCAACCTGGATTCTATCCTCTTGGGAATTTATATATATATATATATATATATATATATATATATATATATATATATATATATATTGACCACCAATATTATCTGCCTATATATATATATATATATATATGCGTGGTACTTAGTGGAAAGTGTTCAATATCCGTGATAGAGCTAACATATATATATATATATATATATATATATATATATATATATATATATATATATATATATATGGTTGGATAGATGTGAGTTTGTGACCCTCGCATATAATATATAAATAATTATACATATATATATATTTATTTATATTTATATACACTTTTCACATATATATATATATATATATATATATATATATATATACATAAACAAATATATATATATATATATATATATATATATATATATATATATATATATATATATATATATATATATATGTCGCTATCCACCTACTGTGCATCCTAGAAGTATATATATATATATATATATATATATATATATATATATATATATATATATATGCTGGCATGGATCACATTTTCGATCAGGTTTCATGATTTTCGTGAAACCCGGAGTTACAAACCCTATCCATACAATACCATATATATATATATATATATATATATATATATATATATATAGTAAAAGGTAACAAATCCGTTGGTATATAATCCAAGTAGATCCTAGTAATATAAAATATTAAAATCCTGGTAATATAAAATAAAACTGATCCACGAAAAGAGCTCAATGTATTTATTATTACAGAGCAAATAGGACAGTAACACAATCCACACCGAGGTTGATGAGACTGACGACCGGTGTTTTCGTCTGCCGAAATCGGCTATTCTCCATATGTGGTGATTTTGGATTTTCTTGTTTATTATATATATATATAAACCTCGGTATGCCAGCATAAATATATAATCGCACGTGTGTAACATTTTTCTACGTCACCAAAAGAGTCCACTGCATAGGGAAGTGCATTTAAACTTCACAAATAAAATGCTATAAGTTATTTGTTTTAAATTATTATTTTGAACTCCGAGATCATCTTTCTTTCTTTAAGCAGCACGAGCAAATAAGAATATAAAATACGTGTACATGTATGTGCGTGTACGCGCAGCCGTGTATGAGGAGAGAGAATTGTATGCGAGAAGCAAGAAGATATGGTCTAAGCAAATATGACACAAGGTCAGTTTAATGTGAGACTCTACAAAATTTCACCTGACTGGCTGGTCGTTTTTTTTTTATATTTTTCTTACAGGCTTTACTTATCTCTATCCCTTTAGTGAAATAGGGAGGTACTACACTGGAGACGGATCCCCAGAAACAAATAATTATAATTGGTTTCTGGCCAGGAATGCTGAAAAAACCTTGTTTGGGTCATGTTTAGTAAAACTGAAAATTAAAATTTGATGAAAAATAGACAAAAGGAGAAATAGAGAGAGGGCGATAGGTTGGTGGGGGTAGAGTCTGGGGGTGGGGATGTGAAATCGTAACCCGAAACACTCGACTTGTCACAAGTCTGTGAAAAAGGTTTGCGTCACGATCTTAGGCCGAGAAATTGTGCGAGGGCACATGTACTAAGAATTGAAAAGACACTCCGACCTAACGTCGATTTGTTTTCTCTCACACAACGCGCACCTACCCTAACTCCTCCGACTGCTCGTCTCGATTCGGCTTCTCTACCCTCTTACTCGCTTCTCGCACGCCCAAACTATTCTCTTTCTCTTTCTCTTTCTCTTTCTCTTCTCGCTATCACCCTCTTTTCTTTGCTGCCGCCCTTATCTCTTCTTATCGTTCTCTTTTAATTCCTTTTTTCCTCTCTATCTCTTGCTAACTATCTATTTATTTATCTTTTCTCACTGTTTTACCCATGCCCTTTCTTTAGTTCTTTCTTTCTTTCTTTCTTTCTTTCTTTCTTTCTTTCTTTCTTTCTTTCTTTCTTTCTTTCTTTCTTCTCGTCTAGAGCTTCTTTCTTTCTTTCTTCTCGTCTAGAGCTTCTTTCTTTCTCTCTTTCTTTCTTTCTTCTCGTCTAGAACATCTTTCTTTCTTTCTATCTTTCTTTCTTTCTTCTCGTCTAGAGCATTTTTCTTTCTTTCTATCTTTCTTTCCTCTCGTCTAGAGCTTCTTTCTTTCTTTCTTTCTTTCTTTCTATCTTTCTTTCATTCTTCTCGTCTAGAGCTTCTTTCTTTCTTTCTTTCTTTCTTCTCGTCTAGAAAATCTTTCTTTCTTTCTCTCTTTCTTTCTTTCTTCTCGTCTAGAGCTTCTTTCTTTCTCTCTTTCTTTCTTTCTTCTCGTCTAGAGCTTCTTTCTATCTCTCTTTCTTTCTTTCTTCTCATCTAGAACTTCTTTCTTTCTCTCTTTCTTTCTTTCTTCTCGTCTAGAGCTTCTT